CACACCGGGGGCCGGGTCCCCCAGTGCAGGACACAACCGGTGGCCGGGTCCTCTCACACAGGACATACCGGGGGCCGGGTGCCCCAGTGCAGGACACAACCAGGGGCCGAGTCCCCTCACACAGGACACACCGGGGGCCGGGTCCCCTCACACAGTACACAACCGGGGGCCGGGTCCCCTCACACAGGACACACCGGGGGCCAGGTCCCCCAGTGCAGGACACAACCAGGGGCCGCGTCCCCTCACACAGGACACAACCAGGGGCCGGGTCCCCTCATGCAGGACATAACCCGGGCCCAGGTCTCCTCACGCGGGATGTCACCCCACAGGGGCCTGGTCCCTCAGCCCCCTCAGGAGCTGGCGCCCACCCCCCCCCTCGAGTTTGGCCCTGCCCTGTGACCCCTTCCAAGAGTAAACATGGCAGAGAGGAAGGAGCCACCGTCCAGGGCAACCTGGACCGCCCCTCAGCAGCGATCCGTCAGGTCAGCTTGTGCGTGGAGCCTCGTGAGGTGATGAGGACACATTCCCTGTGGTCTTGCACCAAAACCATAGCCCTGTGTAAATGTGAGGGAAACCCAGACAAGCCCAGCGGAGGGCATCCCGCAGAATGCCCGTCCAGCACTCAAGAGTCACCGCCCTGCGGGGCCCAGGGAGACGCGACGACCACGTGTGGTGGGATGTTGGATGGCGTCCGGGATGCAAGGCTCGTGGGGGTAGGACTAGTGAAGTCTGAACAGGGCCTGGGGTCTAGTCACGAGATGTACCCCTGTCAGCCCCTCGTTTGTGACAGGCGCCCCTGTAACGTCAGAGGCGCCAACAGCAGACGGGGCGAGGGCCGCGTGAAACCCTCTGCACCGTCTTTACAGGCTTCCTGAAATCCAAAACTCCTGACATAAAACATTCATAAGAAAAATTTAAGCTCAGCTCCCAGAAGAAAACAGAACCCAGAAGTGAATACCCCAAAAGATAAACGGCACCTTTTTCCAGCGGCAGAATCACATGCAGCTTTTTCCTTCTTCTTTTCTGTATTTTCCAAATTTCGTGGAAGGAACCTACTTCTTTTTTTTCCTGTGTGTGAGGAAGACTGGCCCTGAGCTAACATCCGTGCCCATTTTCCTCCACTTTATATGGGACGCGGCCTCAGCACGCCTGACAAGCGGTGTGTCAGTGCGCGCCCGGGATCCGAACCCGGGCCGCCAGCAGCGGAGCGCGTGCACTTACCCGCTACGCCACGGGGCCGGCCCCAGGAACCTACTTCTAAAACGTTTAAAATTAGGGAAGAAAGCATTCTTAAAAATGTGAAATAACATAAGCTTTTTCTTTTACGATTTCACAGAGGGGTGAAACAGCCCAAAGCTTTGAGTGAAGCCCCTGGTGGGTGGGGCTGGTGGCGGTTGGTCACAGCTGGGCGCAGCCTTGTTGCGAGTCTGGGGGTGCAGAGCCGGTCCCTGTGGGGCGGCGGGAGGCGGTGCGGGTGCCCGTCCAGGTGTAGGAGGAGGAGGGGCCTGGCTGGGGCGGGACCTGAGTGAGGGGCGCTGGGTGGGCCTCAGTGCACCGTGGCCCAGCTGTGGTCTCGGGGAGCCCCCGTCCTCGGGTCCCACCCACCTCCACCAGGTCGGGGGCACTGCGTGGGGGCATCTCCCATCCCCCCCGGGCATGCGGTGCCCGTCGGAGCCCCGGTCCTGGGCCTGGGCCTGGGCCTGGGCGGCGGCTCCCGTGGGGCTGGGGACCGGTGTCCGCAAAGCTGTCCGACCCCCCGGCCCGTCTGGTCCTCAGGATCTGATCGTCCACGTGAGGGACGTGAGCCACCCCGAGACCGAGCTGCAGAAGGCCAGCGTTCTGTCCACTCTGCGGGGCCTGCGCCTGCCCGCGCGGCTGCTGGACTCCGTGGTGGAGGTCCACAACAAGGCGGACCGGGTGCCCGGGTGAGTGGAGCGCGGCCGCCCCGCCTGCCGAGCCTCTCCTTCTGGGCCGGCCGCCTGGGCCTGCTGAGGAGCCGCTGCTTGGCTCCTGGGCCGGGAGCGAGGGCGTCTCCCACGGGGGGCTCGTCTCCTGCCTGCAGGAGGAAAAGGGGTCAGGGCGCCCTGTGGCACCTGCTGTCACGTGCCTTCAGCTCCATGTGCTCGCCGTGCCCCCAAGGCGGTGCATTTTGGGGTGTTCTGAGCCCTTCAGCCCCGCACCCCCATGTTTCACCCCAGCCTTCTTGTTCCTCTTCCCTTGTCTTCCCGTCGGGCGGGGCCCTGCCCTCTCCCAGGACGGACTGAGGCGCTCACAGTCAGGACCCCTGGGCGGGTGGGACCCCCTCACTCAGTGGCCCCTCGACTGAGCGGTCTGCCGGCCCCCGCAGGTACAGCCCCGCGGAGCCGCACGCCCTGGCCGTGTCCGCCCTGCTGGGCCAGGGGCTCGAGGAGCTGAAAGCCCGGCTGGAAGACGTCGTCTTGAGAGCGACGGGGAGACGGGTCCTCACGCTCCGCGTCCGGCTGGCGGGGCCGCAGCTGAGGTGTGTCAGCCCGGCAGGGGCGGGGGGCCCTTCACGTGTGGAGGAGCCGGGGAGGCGCCAGGAGCGCAGAGGGGCTGCGTGTTTCTGAGCGGCCGGCGTGGCTGCAGCCGATCGGAGTGAATTCCTCAGGCGCAGCACCAGGCCCGTGCGCACCCGTGGACATTCCAGTAACAACAACTCCCCCCCAGTAAGAGCGACTCCCCAGTATAACGACCCCCACCAGTAATGGCGAGCCCCACCAGTAATGCAGGAGCTCCGGGGGGCGGGGCGGGGGGCTGCGGCCCTCGGGGTGCAGGGTCACCGTGAGCACGTTAGGTCCTCACCAGTGTCGCATCGCGCGCCTCCCCCGCAGCTGGCTGCACCGCGAGGCCACCGTGCAGGACGTGGAGGTGCTCCCCGAGGCGGGGGCCGCCGACGTGAAGGTCATCATGAGCAGCTCCGCTTACGGCAAATTCAGGAAGCTTTTTCCAGGGTGACGGGACGCGGAGGCCGGGGGGACCGCATCGTGTCAGCCCGAGGATGAAGCGGGCACCACCTCGGGGCCTCCCCCACCTCGGGGGGCCTCCCCCCCCCACCTCGGCGGGCCTCCCCCACCTCGGCGGGCCCTGCGATTGCTGCTCTTGACTGCGGGGGGCTGGTGGCCGCCCGAGCCTGCCGTTGGATGGCGCGGCTCTGAGCCGTTCCAGGTCCACAGTCGTGCGGCCTGTGGACGGACCGCCCTGCCAGAATGTGCCAGCTACCAGATGTGTAAAGCTTTGCTCTTGTGTTTGTAAACCAGCCTTTCTGGCTCTTCAGTGCGCCGGCCGCCCTGCAGAAGTGCTGCAAACAGTGGCTGGTGAAGGAAGCAGGTGCAATTTCTCCATCCGCTGTGTTTCCACAGGTCCACAGCTGCCAGGTCTAGGTTTCCCCACGGCAGTGTCGTGGAAATAATTAAACTCTCCCGGCGACCTAGAAACCTCCCCACAAAGGTAGAGGAGAAAGAACACGTTTTGTCACAAACAGGCAGGAAACTAGAACGTGATGTGCGTCACAGGCAGCTGCTGTGAGATGCAGAGGCGGGAGGAACCTCACTTTTATACCACCAGGCAGATGCAGCCCGTCACATGTTCACTGTCTTTATCCAGAGGAAAAAGCTGCTCCCATCTTTTCGACAAGCGGGAGGTTCACTCTTGGAGAAAAACTCCCCCAGAGGCAGGAGGCAAGACCCCCTTCCTGACGCTCCGGGGTCCCAAGACTCACATTCCTGGGCTGCCAAACTGGTGGGACGCCCTTCAGCTTTTAAGGAGATTTGCATACATTTCAGGGAGACCAGGGAGCTACACAATTCTAAGTTTTCTGAAGGGATGCTAATGGGGGAGATCTCTTTCCCTTTGGGCAACAGGAAGATTTTTTCTTTAATTTTTTTCCTTAGATTTGTATACATCCTTAGGGTGGTGAGTGTTTTCTGAGTTGTCCCCAAATTTCAGCATTCGGAGATAACTGAAAAAAAATCTCTACCCGTCCTGGGCAAGCAGATGAATGGGTGTGTGTGAACTTTCCTAAAGACGGGAGCACTTTCCTTTATTTATATGACTTCATTATCCACACACTGTTATACACACGCGGACCCACGGGCCCCACTGCCCCCGGGCTCCTCCCTCAGTACCTGATCCCACACAGACCTTCCCAAACCTGACGTCCTAACTGTGCCATCCTGAGGATTCTGAATGTGGGTAGTGTGGTACACAAAATAATGTCCCCAAAGACGTCCACGTCGTGATCCCTGTGTGGTAGACAGAATAATGTCCCCAAAGACGTCCACGTCCTAATCCCCGTGTGGTAGAATAATGTCCCCAAAGATGTCCACGTCCTAATCCCCGTGTGGTAGAATAATGTCCCCAAAGACGTCCATGTCCTAATCCCCGTGTAGTAGAATAATGACCCCAAAGACGTCCGCGTCCTCATCTCCAGAATCTGTGAGTGGTGAAAGGAATTACAGATGTGGTGAAGTCTCGGATCCTGCGATGGAGTTGATCCTGGATGCCCCGGGTGGCCCACCCTCAGAAGGGTCCAGATAATCAGGAGGCAGAGTCCGAGTATGAGAGCACTGCACCCGAGGTTGGAGTCAGGAAGCTCTGAGGTAGCTGAGCATCTGGCTGTGCAGATGGAGGAGGGCCCTCAGACGAGGCGTGGACGCCTCCAGAAGCTGGAAGGACGAGGACACATTCCCCCCTGCAGCCCTGGAGGGACCGGCTGTGCCCACAGGGGGATTTTAGCCCCGGGAGACCCCCGTCTGCCTCCTGACCTGCAGCCCTGTCGGGATGCACGTGTGGTTTGAAGCCAGCGCGGTCGTCTGTCACAGCCGCCCCGGCACACCCACGCTTGTGGGCTCGAGTGCAGAGCAGACAGGACAGGACTCCGTGAGCCGCCGAGGGAGGGAGAGACCTGCCTGTCACGCCCCGAGAGGAGGCGGGCTCCAGGCCCAGGCTGAGTGCGGAGCTGGGACGAGGCCCACTCTGGTCCGGCACGGGGGGTGGGGAGGGGCACGTGCTGGGGGCCCGGGCCTGGCCACACGGGAGCAGAGCCACGGCCTCCTCTAGGACAGGTGAGCAGGCCAGGAGACCAGCCAGCCCTGGCCTCACGCACCTGCTCCGCCAGCCTGTCTGCTTCCTTCAGCTCAGCCCCGGGGATTCGCTCCTACAGGGTCCCCGAGGCCCAGGGGGCTTTGAAGAGACCCGGTGGGCAGGGTGCATCCTGCTTGGCCCCCCAGGCTCCCGAGGTCCAGCGCAGTCCACCTGCCAGCCTGTGGCTGCCCTGGGTGTGAGCCCCGCACGGTCCCGGGGGTTCCTTCACCCGTCCCTTCTGCCCGTCCCCGTGTGCCAGGCCCCCACTTCCTCCTGGTCCAGCCTCCAGGCTCCTGTCTGCTCCACCCCCACCTCCTCCCCATCTGGGAGACGCAGGCAGGGCTCTGGGGGCGGTCCTGGCCTCTGGTCCCCTCGCTGTCCTCCCAGGACCCCCCGCCTGTTCCTGGGGTCCCTGCCTCACCCCAGAGGCCCCACCCCAGGGCCTCAGAGGGGAGGATATCTCAGCCCAGGGCTCCTCAGGCTCAGCCTGGGGTCTGCAGAGTCCAGACACCCACTGCGGGAGCTCAGAGCGGGGCCTCGAGAAGGAGGATGAGGCGGGGGTCTCGGGGGCCGCAGGAGAGGGCTGGGGCTTTTGAGGGCCCCAGGAGGGAGGGCTAGGGTCTCATGGGGGCCTGAAAAGAGGGCTTGGGGTCTCAGGGGCCCCAGGAGAGAGCCAGGAGTCACTGGGAGTCCCAAGAGAGGGCCGAGGGAGACGGGGGGCCTAGAAGAGGGCAGGTGGACTCGGGGGCACAGAAGAGGGCCTGGGGTCTTGGGGAGCCCCAGGAGAGAGCCAGTGGGGGCCTCAGGGGCCTCTGGAGAGGGATGGGGGTGTCGGGGGGCCCCAGGAGAGAGTCAGGGCACTCAGGGGGCCCAGGAGAGGGTAGGGGGTGTCAGGGGGCCCTAAGAGAGGGCCGGGGGTCTCTGGGAGCCCCAGGAGAGGGCCAGGGGTCTCAGGGGGCTCCAGAAAAGACCAGGGGTCTTGGAGAGGGGGTGTCAGGGATCACATGGAGTTGGGACAGATACAAGACCGCCCCCTACACCCACCCGTACTCCCACTCCCCCCCAGCACCCAGACTCTCCTGAGACCCCTCTGTCTGCAGACGGGCTTCTCCCCTCTCCATTCCAGGGTCCCTGTGCACAGAGGAGCCGGGGCCCCGAGAACTAACCCGTGTGGGCGTGGGGGAGGCCGCCGTCAGAGGAAGGGTTCAGGCCGGGCAGACCCCAGGGTGGCCCCCCGACGTGTGTGCCGCAGGACGGCACAGAGACGGCACAGAGAGAGCAGAGACGCAGCACCGTACTGACCAGTGCTCAGTCAGCAAACGTTTATTCCGCGGTTACACAGCCCCGCTGGGCGCTGCGAAGACGCTGCGAAGACGCGGACTGAGCCTGCTGGCCCCTTCCCACGGGCCGGTGGTCCACGCACGCGGCCACGAGCTCGCCCCGCCAGGAAGATCCTTCCGGTAGAACGCCCGCCTGGAATCCAAGTCTCAAACTCTCGTCTCTAAAATTAAATAGAGACTCTTTGCTCCATGTCCCTGTGGAGGAGCTACGACTATCACAAAACTCAGCACTCTGGTCCAGGCCCTGAACTCACACAGCAGAAATAAAGTGAGCAGGGAGGAGGCACAATGGGATTTTGTCGGCACGACCTGACAAAAAGTGCTCAATAAACTTAGCATTTCTAAGGATCCTTCCGGTGGATTGTCGTGGAAGGCACCCAGCACGTCTTGGTTGTTTGTATGGTAACAGAAACGCATGAATAAATGAGACTTTAAGTCTCTCACACTTCTCCAGAATTAAATGACCGCTGTTGGATTGTCCTCGCCACGACTCCAGGGCAATCAGGGTATGGCAGGAAACAGTCAACGTGACATCACCCTTAGGATCCCACACGTGCCCTCGCCTCAACGCCGTCCCGCGCGCGCCAAGCTCGGTGGGGCGCTGACCCCGCAGAGTCCAGGACTGAGGTCGCCCGCGGGATGTCCCGTGAGCGTCTCTTTTGGGATTTCAGGTCCTTCCTTAGATACTGGCATCCTGCTGCCAAAACCACAGGCAGCTTTTCTTTTGGAAAATGGCTCATTTGATCCCGAAGAGAACACCCTCCAACGAGGACTAAACGGTCGTTTTCATTCCCGTTCATTTTCAGGACGACTTAAGAAAACCTTGTGTCCAATGCCCTTGCGTTGTGGGAGGAACGTTCCAGAACACGAGCTATACGAGCGTTCCTCGGGCCCCTCTGAAGAGGGAAGGGAAGTGGACGGTGTGGTTGGCATCCAGCCTTCGGCCGAGGGCTTGAGCCACCAGCTCTGTGCGGCCACGTGGGCAGAATGAGGTGTTTCCGTGACGTCCGTGTTGGTGACACTGGATTCTGGGTCTCGGGAAGCAGAGCAAAGGCCTGGTGCACGATGCTGAGCCTCCCGCAGGCCTGGGGGCAGCAGTGGGGTCTCGTTGTCCCCGGGGGGTTTGAACGTAGGCAGGGGCCTCAGCCACCACGGGGCGGCCGAGCCCCTGAAAGAGGACCTTACAGCTTTACAGCTTCGTTTCCCCAGAGGGAGCAGCCCCATAGGGCCGCAGGGGAACCTGGGGGCAGAGAGGAGCGAGGGAGGGCGTGAGGCCACGGCAGTCCACGGGGACGGCAGACAGGTTAGCATTGCCGGTCTGGACAATTCCACGGGCCACAGGCGGCCCCTCTCACCCGGCCCTGGGTGTCCGGGGCAGGGGCGTCGGCCCGGCGTGTGAGCCGCCAATGATGGGGTGGCTGGCGTCATACGAGACGTGGCCCCAGGTACGTGGTTTCTTCTCTGGGAACCAGCCCGCCCTGGGAGGCCAGGCTCTTGGGTCTGCAGGGCCCCCAAACGCCAGAGCATCAGGAACATGGAAAATATAGTGAACATAATCATCACTGTGAACTATGGATGCCTGATAGTCAAAGATAGAAACCAGGGGTCAGGGGCGGTGGGAAAAGTGAGCACCCACTGTGGCCTCTGGAGAAAGGGCAGAGGCCAAACGCAAGAGGAAGACAGACGGCCAAATTTTGGGGAGCACCTGGGGGCAGGCCGCCTCACCCTGGGGCCTGGAGGCGGCCAGGACCTTCCCTGAGGTGGGGGCTGGAGAACAGGGGCGCAGGGCACAGGGCAGGTGCAGTACCCGCATCCCAGCACGGGCACGGGGCCACCGTCCACCCTCGTCCTCCCTTAATCATCAGCATATTCACTGAATCCGCCCCAGAGAGACAGTGCAGCCAGGGGCCACCCACGGGGGGTCCCCAAGTCAGGGAGGAGGCTGAGGGACCCCCGACGGCCCAGACCCCACTGCCCTCCCCATGTTCAGCCAAAACGCCGCCGCCAAGAAGGATGCAGGTGCATCGGGCAGCGCCCGTGTGCGGAGTGGGAGGGCGGGCCGGTCAGCCCCATAGCAGCTTCTGGTTGAGCCCTATGACGTCGCTGACGAAGGTGTCCGCCCCGATGAAGTCGCCCGCAATGACGTTGGTGCAGCGGGCGCCCGGCCCCGGGCTCTGCGCCCGGACCCACGTGCTCAGGTACGGCAGGTGGGGGAGCGTCATCTTCCTGAGGGACTCAGACGGGTGCACGAGGATGTAACCCAGGTTCTCCGTCAGGTTGATGCCTGCCACGAACAGCCCGCCTGCGACAGAAGGTGGAGAGGGGGGTGTGCGGTGCTGGATGTCCCAGCCACACGGCAGCCGCCCACCCGCTCGTCTGCCCGTTCTCATCTCAGAGTTCCAGATCTCCCCACGGAATGAGAGTCCAGACAGCAAGGCTCAACTAAGGACTCAGAGTCACTGAACATAGAGGACGTAGGGCTGAATAATGTCCCAAAGGTGTGCACGTCCTGATCCCTGGAACCTGGGAATGTGTGACTTTACGTGACAAAAGGGACTTTGAGATGTGATCACGTTAAGGCTCCTGAGACGGGGGATTATCCTGGATTATCTGGTTGGGCCTCAAGTGTCATCACGAAGGTCCCTGTGAGAGCAAAGCAGAGGAGGACTGAAGACAGAAGGGGCAGCAGATGATGTGATGATGGAATCAGAGGAGAAAAGACGATGTGATGGGGCCACGAGCCCAGGAATGAGGTGCCTCCAGAATCTGGAGACACAAGGAATTGCTTCTGCCTGGAGCCTCCGGAAGGAACTGGCCTGGCCGACACCTGGATTTCAGCCCTGGGAGACCCATTTCTTGTGCCCTCAGAATTGTAATACGTTTCTATTGTTTTAGGCCACTAGGTTAGTGGTGTTTGTCACAAAAGGAGACTCACACACAGAGTTTCAGCCAGTGGTTTTCAAGAGGGTCCCAAGAATCATCAGAAATGCGGATTCTCAGCCCCCCCGATGTGCTGAGTCAGCATCTCTGAGGGGGACGCCCAGCACCCTTCTTTCAGGAAGCCCCCCATGAAGGTGTGAGCACCCTGGGTGGCCTGAATCCACAGCAAGACAGGGATGGTCAGAGAAGTGTCCGCCATGCAAGTCTCTCCAAATAGTTCTTTATCCTCACCCCCAAAGTCCAAGCTTGTCCGTCAGAGAAACCTGAGGGAGCGAGACACTTGAGCGCAAACATCCTGCTCCCTGGGCGACCTCTGAGCTCCTCCCTTAGGATACAAATCTCATGGCTATGGAAATGCTGCTTCATGATAGCAGGGAGCCACATGAGAGTCTGAGCCACATGAAGGTTGAGAGCCACACGACAGCTGCGAGCCATGTGAGAGTCTGAGCCACATGAGAGCTGAGAGCCACGTGAGAGCTGGGAGCCACATGAGTCTGAGCCATGTGAGAGCTGAGGGCCACGTGAGAGCTGGGAGCCACATGAGAGTCTGAGCCACGTGAGGGTCTGAGCCACGAGAGAGCTAAGAGCCACATGAGAGCTGGGAGCCACGTGAGGGTCTGAGCCACGTGAGGGTCTGAGCCACGTGAGGGTCTGAGCCACGAGAGAGCTGGGAGCCACATGAGAGTCTGAGCCACGTGAGGGTCTGAGCCACGTGAGAGCTAAGAGCCACATGAGAGCTGGGAGCCATGTGAGAGTCTGAGCCACATGAGAGCTGAGAGCCACGCAAGAGCTGGGAGCCACGTGAGAGTCTGAGCCACGTGAGAGCTGAGAGCCACGTGAGAGCTGAGAGCCACATGAGTCTGAACCACGCGAGAGCTGAGAGCCATGTGAGAGCTGGGAACCATGTAATAGCTGGGAGCCACGTGAGGGTCTGAGCCACGTGAGAGTCTGAGCCACATGAGAGCTAAGAGCCACATGAGAGCTGGGAGCCATGTGAGGGTCTGAGCCACGTGAGGGTCTGAGCCACGTGAGAGTCTGAGCCACATGAGAGGTCAGAACCACGTGAGAGCTGGGAGCCATGTGAGAGCTGGGAGCCACTGAGAACTAGGAGCCATGTGGCAGCTCGGAAGCACATATGGGCAGCAGGCGAGGGGAAGCCAGCGTGAGCCTGACCCACACCGTTTGGGAGGTCCCCCCGTGCTCCAGGGCTGGGTTTCCACCCTCGGGGGACAAAGACTGCTAGTGGCTGTCAACACTGGCTGCACGTGATGCCCCAAGCACTTTTTAAAAAATGGAGGTGAAATTCATGATTTTAAAATGAACAATTCAGAAGCATTTAGTGCATTCACAGTATTGTGCAACTGCCCCCTCTGTCTAGTTCCAGAACATTCTCATGCTCCCAAAAGGAGACCCTGCCCCATGAGCAGTCACTCCCCATCCCCCTTCCCAGCCCCTGGCACCACTAATCCACTTTCTTCTCTGGGTCCTAATCTGGCCATTCCGTATAATGGAACCACGCACCATGTGGTCTTCTGTGTCTGGCTGTTTGAACCTTGTTGAAGGTCCATCCACGCTGTAGCGTGTCAGGACCTCATTCCTATTCATGCACAATGTTCCACTGTGGATGGACCACATGGTTCATCCAACGATGGACGATCGGGTTGTCTCCACCGTGGATGTTTTTCAAGCGTCCTGGCCTCACCGACGAAGTGGGACCTGGTGAGTCCAAGGTCCAGCCAGGTTTGGCACCAGGCCCCCCTCCCCCAAATCCCACCCCCGGTGCAGCTCCCCCCAGCCGTTCTCAACAACACAGACAAAGCTGTGCCACCAAAGCAAGAGTCCTTTCTGTGAAGACACCAGGGGACAATGGAGCCAAGGGTCACCACAGGGGACAAAGGAACCAAGGGTCACCACAGGAGACAGAGGAGCCAAGGGTCACCACAGGGGACAGAGGAGCCAAGGGTCACCACAGGGGACAGAGGAGCCAAGGGTCACCACAGGGGACAGAGGAGCCAAGGGTCACCACAGCGTCCAGGATGCCATTTTAGTGGGAACCGGCAGTCAGATGGAGCCGGCCGCCAGAAGCACATCTCCAAACCGTGGGAAAACGCTTCACCTCTGCAAACGTTGGCAGTGAGGGATCGGGTCGGTGAGCAGCGCTGGTTTTGTTTGTTTAAAGCATTGTTACAGATCACGTTGACGCACATAAAACAGCCACACGTAGTACCAAGCGTAACACACGACCACACTCCATCACCCACTATCGACTGATAACAGGAAATGGGACCAGGGGGCCCTGGAGGCCCCAAGCGTCCACCGACGCAGCCACGGGCCCTGACCACGAATATAAAATACGTAAAACCACGGACTCCATAACCAAGAAAAGTTCCCGTTCTTCACACCAATGATACAACAAAGCAAAACCACCACCGACCGTCAGAGCCATCACTGGGGGAGTCGTCTGTAGCCTGTTTGCCAGAAAAGGGCTGATTTCCTTCAAGAAACTAAGAAAGCACCGAGACCAAGGAGCAGAAACAGCAAGGCTGTAAACGTCCTCAGAAGGACGCACGGACACACTCGCATCCTGCGCTGCTTCTCACTGGGAGCTGGGGCAGGACACACCCTCAGAGCACACACTGTGGGACCGAGTGTGCGAGGCGTTCCCGGAAGCTTCTCTCTGAAGGGAGTGTCTGCAGAGCAGGTGGCCCAGGGGGGCCCAGTCAAATAAACCATGTTACATATGTGGGATGGAGTCCACACGGCTATTTTAGCAAGGAAGCGCAAAGCTGAATTAAGATGCTAAATTGAACAGAGAGAAAGGGACAGACAGAGGGGGACAGAGACACAGAGACAGAGATAGAGAGACGGAGACAGAGATGGAGAGACAGAGATAGAGAGGGAGGAGGTGGGGCTGCCGGGGGCCTGGGCGTGTTTCCCTTCTCCTCATCTGTAAATGGGAATAACAACCTCGCTGGATCACGGGGCTGCCAGGAAGATCAACAGGCCCGTGTACGGAAAGCCTGAGCAAGCGCCTGGATGGATGCGTGTGTGGGTACGTGTGTGCACATGTGTGTATAGTATATGCTTATCTGCATGCATATGTGTATATATGCATGCATGCACGTGTACCTGCACGTGCGCATGCACACACGCATGTGTGTATACACACATATGTTTGTACATGTGTGTGCACATGGATAGGTTGTGTGGACACATGTGTGCACATGTGTATAGTATACACATACCTGTATGCATGTGTATATATAAACACATGCACATGTACTTGTACGTGTGCATGCACATATACATGTGTGTATACACACATGTTTGTACATGTACACATGGATAGATGTGTGTGGATACGTGTGTTCACGTGTGTGCGGTATACACATACTTGTGTGCATGTGTGTATATACACATACACGCACATGTACCTGTATGTGTGCATGCACATATACATGTGTATATGCACACACGCACATATGTTTGTACATGTACACACATGGATAGACATGTGTGTGCACATGTGTATATATATATATACACATCTGCATGCGGATGTGTACGTAAAGATACACACATGTGAACTTGTACGTGTGAATGCACGTATACATATGTATACACACGCATGCACATATCTTTATACGTGTACACGATCAAAAGCAAACCCTTGTGCCCGACAGCACACGTGCACCGTCTCTCCACACAGAACAGCCTCACGCACCTGGGCGGCCGTCGCTCTTCATGCGCTCCAGGTAGCGCACCAGCTCCTCAGGCTTCACCTGGTCGCCCCACCAGTAGGGGATCCCCGGCCACAGCTCCGGGTGCTGGTTCACGGAGCCCTCGTCCTCATAGGACAGGATGACCTGCTGGCCCCGTGTCCACAGCTGGCGCAGCGTCGGCACCTCCTGGAGGGAGGGAGATATCAGGGTATGGTGAGAGAGTGGTGGGGTGCAGATATTGGGGCGTCTGTGAGAGTCAGTGATGGCTGGAGATATTGGGGTATCTGTGAGAGACAGTGATGGGGTGGAGATATTGGGGTGTCTGTGAGAGACAATGATGGCTGGAGATATTGGG